TCATCTATTGTCATACTAGATAGCCCAGACTAAACATCTACTGTCATACTAGATAGCCAAGACTAAACATCTACTGTCATACTAGCTAGCCCAGACTAACCATCTATTGTCATACTAGATAGCCCAGACTACCCATCTACTGTCATACTAGCTAGCCCAGACTAAACATATACTGTTGTACTAGCTAGCCCAGACTAAACATCTACTGTCATAGTAGTCCAAACCACACACATACTGACATACCAGCTAGCCCTGACTAAACATATACTCTCATACTAGCTAGCCCAGGCTAAACATCTACTGTCATACTTGCTAGCCAAGACTAAATATCTACTGTCATACTAGATAGCCCAGACTTAACATATACTGCCATACTAGCTAGCCCAGACTAAACATCAACTGTCATACTAGCTAGCCAAGACTAAACATCTACACATCTGCTGTCATACTAGCTAGCCCAGACTAAACATCTACTGTCATACTAGATAGCCAAGACCAAACATCTACTGTCATACTAGCTAGCCCAGACTAACCATCTATTGTCATACTAGATAGCCCAGACTAACCATCTACTGTCATACTAGCTAGCCCAGACTAAACATCTACTGTCATACTAGATAGCCCAGACTAAACATCTACTGTCATACTAGCTAGCCCAGACTAAACATCTACTGTCATACTAGATAGCCCAGACTAAACATCTACTGTCATACTAGCTGGCTCATACTAAACATCTACTGTCATACTAGATAGCCCAGACTAACCATCTACTGTCATACTAGCTAGCCCAGACTAAACATCTACTGTCATACTAGATAGCCCAGACTAAACATCTACTGTCGTATTAGCTAGCCCAGACTAAACATCTACTGTCATACTAGATAGCCCAGACTAAACATCTACTGTCATACTAGCTAGCCCAGACTAAACATCTACTGTCATACTAGATAGCCCAGACTAAACATCTACTGTCATACTAGCTAGCCCAGACTAAACATCTACTGTCATACTAGATAGCCCAGACTAAACATCTACTGTCATACTAGCTAGCCCAGACTAAACATCTACTGTCATACTAGATAGCCCAGACTAAACATCTACTGTCATACTAGCTAGCCCAGACTAAACATCTACTGTCATACTAGATAGCCCAGACTAAACATCTACTGTCATACTAGCTAGCCCAGACTAAACATCTACTGTCATACTAGCTAGCCCAGACTAAACATCTACTGTCATACTAGCTAGCCCAGACTAAACACATACTGTCATACTAGCTAGCCCAGACTAAACATCTACTGTCATACTAGCTAGCCCAGACTAAACATCTACTGTTGTCTGTGTATTGGTCGTCAACTTTTTCCATTTGGAATGACTTCCGCTGATTACCTAAAACACTTACGTCGGTGGTATTTAGCTAGCTGCTTGTTCGGATGAAGGGCTAACAATTGTGTTCAAATAAATGACCTTGACTGTATTTTAAGGTCTTGAGCAGATGTAAAAAAAAATAAACTTTTATTTAAGTTCTTCTTTGAATCCCTAGGGTTGTGATATTCAGCTAGTGTAGTATTCTAGGATGAAAAGCTTTCAAATTATGTTCAACTACATAACGTTTCTTCACTTAAAAGGTTAAAGGGCCGGGGTATATTTTTTTCAAAAATTTGAAATACCTCTTCTGAATAACTAAAGACAGAAGATGTAAAGTAGCATGATGGGATAAAGAGCTATATGTTTGAACTTGACCCACATTATCTCATTCACCCCTGAAGACACATTTGAACCTTTCCAATTCAAAGGTTGGAATAGTTCATTATGAAATTTCAGGGGTGAATGTGTTAAAGGCTGAAGCTGTCAAATTTGTTCAAATATTCTAACCAAGGGTGGGTGGAGATATTTAACAAGTAGCATGCTTAGATGAAGAGCACAGGTTTGTTCAATAAATTATAAATGACCTTGACCTACCTTTTTGTTTCAGGAGTCAAATTTGTTTGGAAAACTTAATTGCAAACAAGTTTGTTTAAATGAAAACCCAATTCAGGGTTTCAGGGGTCATTCTTTAAAAAATTACATAGCTTCTGCATAAATAAGAGACCTAGAGTTGAGATGTTTAGACATCAGCATGCTAGAATAGATGACCCTAAAGATTGTTCAAATATATTAACTTGATCCGAACCTGACTGACCTTTAAGAAGCATATATAGGATGATGATATTTAGCCAGTAGCATGCGAGGATAAATGGATTTCAACTTTGTGCAAATAAATGACCTTGACAAATCTTCAAGGTCACAGCTGGGAACAAACTCAATTAACAACTTCTTGAAGATTCACCCTATAACCATACACCTATGCTGTAAGGATGTTACCAGGGTCTTGCCCCACCTTTAAAGACTTGGTCAGAACATTAAAACTCTTGCGATCCCCACCACATTACCAGATATACAATGACATGTCATGAAGAGATGTACACAATCATGCCTGGGCCTGTTCCCGCCCTAAGGGACTTCGTCCATGGGTAATGACAAAAAAACTTTGGAGATTCTCACACTATAACAATATTTGCAATTGCTTAGCATGAAAATTTGGATACACATATATGTATGATATCAGGATTTTCCTGGAAACTGGGCCTGTCCTTGTGATCTTATTTGCCATACTACATGTAGTTTTAATAAGAATATTTTGCTATGATTATCTAGGTGATATCTTGTTATATTAATTGACATAAGTACATCTAGCTCTGTACCTCATGTGTATGACACAATTTGCTTCAATGCAGTTGACACACAATGCATGATCATTGTTTCTAAATTGGTGAAAATCGTGCAGAAAGCAGTGGACGGGTAAAATTTAGAGGTCACTAGCTTTATAAATTAATGCTTGTATTATTTTGGTATTTCAAGGCGTTCACTATTAATTATGTCTATGTTTGGCTATCTATAGGCTCAAGGGTAATGCTAGTTAAATACACTCTGGTAATTACAAGCCATCCCAGGAGGTGTTGAAGATTAACTCTATGTTTACTCGGCCATCATGCTGCAGCCTCGGCTGATTCGGGTATACAATTTGACCGTCACTTACAATATACTGTATACTGGTAAGCTTTCGCCTTTCGCCAGAATAATCCATATTTGCCCTGTGTTAATTTCGCCCTCCGCAGAATAATCCATATTTGCCCAGTGTTAATTTCGCCCTTCGTCAGAATAATCCATATTTGCCAAGTGTTAACTTCGCCCTTCGCCAGAATAATCCATATTTGCCCAGTGTTAATTTCGCCCTTCGTCAGAATAATCCATATTTGCCCAGTGTTAATTTCGCCCTTCCTCAGAATAATCCATATTTGCCCAGTGTTAATTTCGCCCTTTACATTTAATTACTATGCAGATTATTTTGTTTACTTATGTCCGCTGTATTGATATATTTATACCCTAACTGCAGTGGGCAAAAAAAGCAAAAATTAAACAGCGGCAAAAAATGTGCTGGCATACCGTATTTGTGTTCAGTGCTGGTGATTGTTAGATCCAGGTTAAATATGATGATTAGTGTCAATCTTAATGGCCATTGGCTACTTTAAGAAAGGTGACCACTATCCTAATTTATTAATATAGTGCTTTTTCGGGGGGGGGGGGGGGGGGGGGGGGGGATGAGAGTGCCCTCTGATGACAGTTGACTGTTTATACCAGTCTGTTGCTAAAGCAAGTTGGTGTATACGTGTAGGGGAACTGGACTGGATTGATCATAGGTGACCAGGTAGAGTGTCCGTCCAGAGTGAGAGGGTTCCAGGTTCGAACTCTGATCTTGCCGTTCATTTTTCCATCATTACAAGGCCGAGGCCAGTGTCCAGAACAGCTAAAAACGATTGACTTCCCTGGTAATTTGGTACAGGTCCCTCTATCAAGGGGACTAACAAAGATTGACTTATCTGGTAATTTGGTACAGGTCCCTCTATCAAGGGCAATAACAAAGATTGACTTACCTAGTAATATGGTACAGGTCCCTCTATCAAGGGCACTAACAAAGATTGACTTGCCTGGTAATTTGGTACAGGTCCCTCTATCAAGGGCACTAACAAAGATTGACTTACCTAGTAATATGGTACAGGTCCCTCTATCAAGGGCACTAACAAAGATTGACTTGCCTGGTAATTTGGTACAGGTCCCTCTATCAAGGGCACTAACGAAGATTGACTTACCTGGTAATTTGGTACAGGTCCCTCTATCAAGGGCACTAACAAAGCTGGTATATAAAGCATCTCATGAACCTTTCAACAGATATGTAAGGTTTATAACTTCATTTACTATATACTTTAAAAACTCTGGCATTCCCATTGACCAGATCCTGTACACGTGACCAGTCCCCAAAAACTCATAAAGACTGGTTTTCTGGTGAATAGCAATTTCTAAATATAGCCTATATGGAAATTCTCCGCAACCTGTCCTAGTGCTTGCCCAGTTAGACCGAAACACGATCTGTCAGACAACAACAGACAGAAACACGATCTGTCAGACAACAACAGACAGAAACACGATCTGCCAGACAACAACAGACAGAAACACGATCTGTCTGACAACAACAGACAATGGCTGATGGTGAACACTTAAACTCTGTTATATTTGAAAATTTCCAAAAACTACTCCAGGATATAAATGCTGTTCACACAAAAAGGCCACAGAACACGCTGTGCGTGTGCACCATGCTTATCTTAAGGAAAGAAACTTGACGATGTCTTCGAAAGCTATGGATTCAACATCACACTGGCTAAATTTACCACGGAGGTTCGTGTAAAAACCCCAGAATATGATGTAGCATATTCAGAAGCACAAAGTTCCATAACTGTATAATATACCATGGTTCTATAAATGATTAGATTGTGGGGGTTATTGTTAAGGTTAAATGGTCAACGTTCACATTTGACCTACTAATGAAATCAAAACCTTCTACACCTTAATATACAATAGTTAATACATGTATAGTCTAAAATTCCTTCTTTTCTTTTTTTCAGTCTGTAATTTTGTGGTTCATGAACGCTGTCTGAAGACAGTTGTCTCCCCTTGTTCCAGCATTGCCACCAATCTGATCAAGGTATGTATGCAGTAATGATACAACTTAGATAACTGTGTATGAGGTATACACTATTACACAAGTTACTTAATTGTATGAGGAAGAAACAAGTTCTGAAGATTTTTTAAGGTGTAAAATATTATCATCATATGACATGTAGGTCACTGTGACCTATATATTGTCTGCTTCACTAGCTTTGTTTGGACTTTGTGTTCAGCTTCATTTCTCTGATGCTAATAGTCAAACAATCATCAAACTTTACATGGGGATATATACATACACACCTTGTATAGAGATCATGTACTGGTCACATGTTGTAAGTACACACCTGGTATAGAGATCATGTACTGGTCACATGTTGTAAGTACACACCTTGTACAGAGATCATGTACTGGTCACATGTTGTAAGTACACACCTTGTACAGAGATCATGTACTGGTCACATGTTGTAAGTACACACCTTGTACAGAGATCATGTACTGGTCACATGTTGTAAGTACACACCTTGTACAGAGATCATGTACTGGTCACATGTTGTAAGTACACACCTTGTACAGAGATCATGTACTGGTCACATGTTGTAAGTACACACCTTGTACAGAGATCATGTACTGGTCACATGTTGTAAGTACACACCTTGTACAGAGATCATGTACTGGTCACATGTTGTAAGTACACACCTTGTACAGAGATCATGTACTGGTCACATGTTGTAAGTACACACCTTGTACAGAGATCATGTACTGGTCACATGTTGTAAGTACACACCTTGTACAGAGATCATGTACTGGTCACATGTTGTAAGTACACACCTTGTACAGAGATCATGTACTGGTCACATGTTGTAAGTACACACCTTGTACAGAGATCATGTACTGGTCACATGTTGTAAGTACACACCTTGTACAGAGATCATGTACTGGTCACATGTTGTAAGTACACACCTTGTACAGAGATCATGTACTGGTCACATGTTGTAAGTACACACCTTGTACAGAGATCATGTACTGGTCACATGTTGTAAGTACACACCTTGTACAGAGATCATGTACTGGTCACATGTTGTAAGTACACACCTTGTACAGAGATCATGTACTGGTCACATGTTGTAAGTACACACCTTGTACAGAGATCATGTACTGGTCACATGTTGTAAGTACACACCTTGTACAGAGATCATGTACTGGTCACATGTTGTAAGTACACACCTTGTACAGAGATCATGTACTGGTCACATGTTGTAAGTACACACCTTGTACAGAGATCATGTACTGGTCACATGTTGTAAGTACACACCTTGTACAGAGATCATGTACTGGTCACATGTTGTAAGTACACACCTTGTACAGAGATCATGTACTGGTCACATGTTGTAAGTACACACCTTGTACAGAGATCATGTACTGGTCACATGTTGTAAGTACACACCTTGTACAGAGATCATGTACTGGTCACATGTTGTAAGTACACACCTTGTACAGAGATCATGTACTGGTCACATGTTGTAAGTACACACCTTGTACAGAGATCATGTACTGGTCACATGTTGTAAGTACACACCTTGTACAGAGATCATGTACTGGTCACATGTTGTAAGTACACACCTTGTACAGAGATCATGTACTGGTCACATGTTGTAAGTACACACCTTGTACAGAGATCATGTACTGGTCACATGTTGTAAGTACACACCTTGTACAGAGATCATGTACTGGTCACATGTTGTAAGTACACACCTTGTACAGAGATCATGTACTGGTCACATGTTGTAAGTACACACCTTGTACAGAGATCATGTACTGGTCACATGTTGTAAGTACACACCTTGTACAGAGATCATGTACTGGTCACATGTTGTAAGTACACACCTTGTACAGAGATCATGTACTGGTCACATGTTGTAAGTACACACCTTGTATAGAGATCATGTACAGGTCACATGTTGTAAGTATATACCGTGTACAGAGATCATGTACTTGTTACATGTTGTAAGTACACACCGTGTACAGAGATCATGTACAGGTCACATGTTGTAAGTATATACCGTGTACAGAGATCATGTACAGGTCACATGTTGTAAGTACACATCTTGTATAGAGATCATGTACAGGTCACATGTTGAAGTACACACCTTGTATAGAGATCATGTTATAGTAATCTACCCTAGTGTCAGTTTAATGGAATTGTACACTATTATCGTTGTAAGTACACACCGTGTACAGAGATCATGTACAGGTCGCATGTTGTAAGTACACACCTTGTACAGAGATCATGTACAGGTCACATGTTGTAAGCACACACCTTGTATAGAGATCATGTTATAGTAATCTACCCTAGTGTCAGTTTAATGGAATTGTACACTATTATCGTTGTAAGTACACACCGTGTACAGAGATCATGTACAGGTCACATGTTGTAAGTACACACCTTGTATAGAGATCATGTTATAGTAAACTACCCTAGTGTCAGTTTAATGGAATTGTACACTATTATCACTTTACCATTTTCAGTCCAATTTTTGATCAACCTCAAATAAGTATTCCCAGCTCAGATTCTGATATGCAAGTTGTATTTCAGGGTTCATAGCTATAAGGTCACTTTAAACTATAAAAATAACATTTACCCCCCTTCTTAATTTTTTGTTGTTGAGCGTATATTATAACAATCTTTTGAAATACTAAGGACGAACACTACCAAAGACACAACTGTCTCAATACCTCATCGACAGAGTATTACATAGAACGCTGATTGCATTCCAGAACCCTGTTGCCCATTGCTGGTCAGAGCCAAGTCATTTCAAACGCAAGTTTTGCAATGTTTGTCGCAAGCGCCTGGAAGACAGCCTCGCCATAAGATGTGAACGTGAGTATATGTAATGATCATTGCTTGTTGTTGAATGTCCTTGAATGTCCTTGATATCATCTTGTAACTGTTTTTGGTTTATTTTAGAACCCTGTAGCCTACTGCTGTCTGCTTTTGTCCATTCTTTCTTAACCATTCACCATTGTAAAATCTCACCTTTTTCACATCAGAAATTGAAATTCTACCAATCTAATTTTGCCTACATGTAGTGGGAATGATCAGCACACGTACATGGTCCTGGCCATTATGTTAACATGAAGAAATGACTGACATATACAAAGTCATAGGGATCAGAACTCATAAAATACTTAAATGGCATATTCTGAGGAGCCAAAAAGTATCAAAAAATGACATGGTTAGTTGCTTGCTTGTAGGCAAGCTTCAATGTTAAGCTGACACCTGGCACGAAGTGATGTGTTTTGTCTGTCGTCCCTCAACTTTTTCTTTGAATGACTTCTTGTTAAGAATTGGAGCACCTAGCGCCATGATATTGGGCCAGTACGTAGGTACCTGGGACAGAGTGCTATAAAGTTTCCTCAAATAGATTACATTGACCTACTTTCAAGGTCATAGGGGTTAAGTATGTAAAAACCTTAAAACAACTTCTTCTGAATAACCAGGAGGCCCTGAGTAATAATACTTGGCCAGCAGGGACCTGGCATGAAGTGTTATCACAAGGGTAAAACATGTTAAAAACCTTAAAACAACTTCTTCTGAATACCCAAGAGGCCTAGAGCATTGATATTTGGTCAGGATGTATTTGGGACAGAGTGCCATAAAGTTTCCTTTAGGGTCACAAGGGTAAAAAGTGTTAAAAATCTTTAAACAACTTCTTCTGCATAACCAAAAGGCCAAACTTCTCTCAAATAAATTACCTCAACCTAATTTAAGATCACAAATGTCAAATGTGGTAAAACCTTTAAACAATTTCTTCTGAATAACTAGGAGGCCCAAAGTATTGATACTTGGCCAGGGTACCTGGGACAGAGTGATATAAAGTTTCCTCAAATAAAAGACCTTTAACTACTTTCGAGATCACAAGAGTCAAATGTGTTTAAAACCTTTAAACATCTTCTTTAGAACCAAGGGGCCTATAGAGTAATGCTATTTGGCCAGTAGGCTTGGACAGAGTGCTATATAGTTTCCCCAAATAAATGACCTTGACCTACTTTCAAGGTCACAGGGGTTAAATATGTAAATATCTTTAAACAGCTTCTTCTTCAATACAAGGCCCTGGGTGATAATATTTGACCAGTGGCGTTCTGGGATAGAGTAGCATAAAGTTTTATTTAGTTTGGAACATTCTTCAGCCAAGGAGACTCAATGTATGGAAATATTTGCAAGAGTACTTTTATTGAAAATATTTTCCCATGATTGCTCAATATCCAGGTGAGCAATACAGGCCTTCTGGGCTCTTGTTACAAAAAGAAATCATGATACTGGTGTTAGTTTGTTAAAAAAAATCTTATGAAGAACCAAAACGGCTTAGAGTCATCATGTTTGGGCAGTAGCTTGCTTGAGTAGAATACTACAGAGTTTATTAAACAGAAATGACCTAGACATATGTTCAAGTTCACAAGAAATGACCTTGACATATTCAAGACATAAAGGGTTGAATAAGTTACAAAGCTCATGACCTTTTCGGAAATGAAAAATCAAAAGCCATAATAATTGGCCAGTAGCATGGAGTGCATAAAAGTTTGCAAAATAGAAAAGACCTTAATTAATATTTAAAGTCACAGAGATCTCAGATGACTTATGCTAAAGAAATGCCCAGAGAAATGGTATTAAGCTTAGGCCAATTGCTTACATCCCTGAAGTGCTACAACGTTTCCAAAACAGAAGTGATCTTTATTGGTTTTGAAGGTCATAGGGGTTATTTTGGTTAAAATGCTCCACCAACAACCCAAAGCCTTAGATCATAATATTTGGCCAATAGCTCGGTGGAATGGAATTTTGTCTCCAGAGACCTTCTTGGAAATTGGCACCTGAAGTGGTTTCCATACGATGACATTAAATATGGTATAATTTTCATGAAAGTTTCAACGCATGCCTACATATCTACTTCACGCTCAAATCAATATGGCCGCCAGTGAGGGCAGAAGACATACACTTTTGTGGAATTCTCGTTTCATTAATGCAGAATTTATGTTGTCAACTTTGCTCCTACTTATCCTGTGTTATTTTGTAAGTCACCTAATTTACTAGGCATGGCAAACCCAAACAATAGAAATCTTGGCTTTTGCTTCGACCTGTCAAACATGGTTTTATATCCACGTAAAGGACATTAAAACTTAAATAGATATTGGTGGACACCTTCTTAAACCTCTTAAATGATCATACAAATTATCTTATTGACTCTGCATGATTTGTAATGACAGTTGCTGATATTTTTCACTTGCCCGCTGGAGCAGGTGGCAGAAACTTATAACCTGCCTGACATGGGGTCAGATCTGCCCCGATGTTCGGGCAATTCTTAAAGTCGACCTTTGAGTATTGTTCAGAAAAGGGGACTTGTGAAAATGAAGGGTTCCCCCCACCTCCACCTTCCCTGAGGGCAGAGGGATGGGGCCCAGTAGGGGAAATAGAGGTAAATCTGTAAAATCTTTCCTTAATCGACACCAGTGAAGGGATTTGGATTGGAGATTTGTCCAATCATTATCCTGTTGTATATATATGGGTAAAGCAATATTTACCGTATGTGTGGTCTGGAGCATTGTTGGGACTAGGGGCAGAAGGACAGGGTCCAGTTTAAAATATTTCCCCTTCCATGTGTTTGAAGGGATTTCAACCAAATTTGATCTGAAGCATCCGAAGGACAGTGGTAGCTTAATATCGTAAAAAGAAAGGGTAATATATGTAGATTTTGTTTCAATGAAGTTTTTGTAACCTCTTGGGCTGGGGTTAGGCCTCAATAGACGAATTTTGTCACCAGGGTCCAGCCCCAGTCTTAGGTCTTAGTCCCTGGAAACAGTTGAGATCCCTACCTTATAACCCTGTGTATCATTACTGGGCATGAAAAATGGACATGATCATACTATGACCAGCCCCTAAATACAGTTCATACCATGGTGACTCGGTCCCTAGGTCGTAAAATGAAAACAGTTGAAATTCCCACCCAACAACAACATATAAAATTGCTAGGCATCAAGACACAAATACAAATATACTTCCAAGATTGACTCTTGGTTCCAGCCCAGCCCCTGATGATTTAATCCCAAGCTCATAACATAGAATTAATTGGAATTGTATTTTAAACATATTTGCTACAAAGTGTCATTAGGGTAAGAAATCAAATGTCATATAAAAGAAAGGATTTGTCCCCCATTAGTCTGAAAGCCCAGAATGGGGAAATATTTTATGTATTACTTAAGATAGAAATATTTTGCTACGATTGCTAGAATATCAAGATAATGATGCAGGCCTCTGGGGCCTCTTGTAGAATTAATTTAGCATGTGTCTCAGTATGTGAGAGTTTTGTTTTATATTACAGTTTGTGAGTATTATGCTCATTTGGACTGCCAGGACTTCGTGGTCAGCGACTGTAAGGAGTGTGCAACCTACGTACCACACAAGGAACTGGTAAGTACCAGTAGGTCAGAGGTCACACTGTGTTGAACCCCAAGGTCAAACCGTTAGTTCAATGCAGGATTTTACATGTCATTTTGACTTTGAGAGTCATTTGGACCCCCTTGATTGAAAATTTGGGGCCTTAGATAAATATTTAGGGTCCTCAAAATGATAAGTAATATACATCATTAAAATTTCGAGACTGCAATTTTTTAAGTTGTCATTTCAGGGAATCATGGGGACACAGGTGTTAAGATTTTAGGTGCCTGTAATGGAAAATGGGGGTATTCAAATCAGGATGCATGCCCTGCAGGTAGGGCGTAAGAATTGTACCTGCTGCCCCCATTGCGTGATCGTAAGAGGCGACTAAATTTGGGATCTTATCTTTTCTCTTCTTACTAAATAACTTTCTTCTTCCTAATGTCTCCCTTGACAATGCCTCACTTTTGGCCTTTAGTTGAGCGTTCGCCCCTGTGAGGAAGGCTTTAAATTTGAGTTCTGTCCCCTGGCCGAGACATACCAGAGTCTGTAAAAATGGTAGTTTCTACTCCTGCTTAATGCTCAGCAATTTAGGAGTGGGATGACTATTTCGCTCGTTGTCCGTATAATGTGACCAGGTGGGGTGTCCTGCTTGGTGTCTTCGGTTGTATGTTTCAGTGAGGTAGCACTAAAAAGTCGGCATTAGTTCCGTACTATCACAAGAAGACAAACACGAACATATCGCAGCACACACACACAAACACTACATGCATGCAACTTGCACAAAGTGGATGCCGTCCTTAAATAACCATTGCTGTTGATAGGATGTTAAACAATACTAAACCAAACCAAACCAAACCTGCTTCATGTAAGGCCAAATAAAATTAATTACTTGGTTCTCAGGCCATTTTTTTTCAAAATAGATGCGGCAGGGCGGTATTTTTTTTTCATTTTACATGGCAAAAAACGAGACGAGGGTGATTTTTTTTTTAATGTGTAGTTTTTAAAACGTTCATTGTGGACAATACCTTGTCTTTTTATAGTTGTGTAGAGACCCGTCATAGAGCAAGCCTCCGAAAACCCCCCCACGATGTTCCAGACGAGAATCACGAACCCCCCATTCCTTATTTGTACCGAAATGAGCGCCGTTTGTACACAAGACTAATAAGTCATAATCATTTTAACGCTTGCCTGTATCTCAATCCTTACCTTTATTCAAACGTTTTCGGGACTTGGGTGACTAATGAGTAAAAACGACATGCGGACCAATTTTCCGGATATTTTAAAAGATGGCGGCTGGCGCATTCACAATTTTTTTTATTACTTTGACAATAAAAACGGCAATGCGCACGGTGCCATGAAATGCGCGCGGGCCTGAGAACCAAGTAATAATTTTTTTTGGCCTAAAATCCTTGTTCAATGCAACTTCCATTTTCAAGAAATATCCTATACCAATGGTCATATAAGTTTGTATATATAATGTGATACGTATCTCTATCACGATCAAGGCAAAAGCAAGTTCTGTGATAGAATTACAGCTGAATCAGATACCTGGTAGTGGTTAAATATTTTTGTTAATACTTGTCTTGTTTTAAGCTTTTCTTACAAATGTTCCAGGTAAACGTTATCCAGTACCACCAGTGGAGGGAGGGAAACCTACCGGCCAACTCCAAATGTGTGGCCTGCAAGAAAACCTGCTGGTCAGCCGAATGCCTGGCAGGCATGCGCTGTGAATGGTGTGGGGTCACGGTAAGTTAGGATGTAAGGTGAATGGTGTGGGGTCATGGTAAGTTAGGATGTAAGGTGAATGGTGTGGGGTGGAGGTAAGTTAAGATGTAAGGTGAATGATGTGGGGTCATGGTAAGTTAGGATGTAAGGTGAATGGTGTGGGGTCATGGCAAGTTAGGATGTAAGGTGAATGGTGTGGGGTGGAGGTAAGTTAGGATGTAAGGTAATGGTGTGGGGTCACGGTAAGTTAGGATGTAAGGTGAATGGTGTGGGGTTGAGGTAAGTTAAGATGTAAGGAGAATGGTGTGAGGTCGGGTAAGTAAGGATGCGCTGTACATGATATGGGGTCGTGGTAAGTTAGGATGCTCTGTACATGATATGGGGTCGTGGTAAGTTAGGATGTGCCGTACATGGTGTGGGGTCATGGTAAGTTAGGATGTAAGGTGAATGGTGTGGGGCTGCGGTAAGTTAAGATGTAAGGAGAATGGTGTGAGGGCGGGTAAGAAAGGATGCGCTGTACATGATATGGGGTCGTGGTAAGTTAGGAGGCTCTGTACATGATATGGGGTCGTGGTAAGTTAGGAGGCTCTGTACATGATATGGGGTCGTGGTAAGTTAGGAGGCTCTGTACATGATATGGGGTCGTGGTAAGTTAGGATGCTCTGTACATGATATGGGGTCGTGGTAAGTTAGGATGCGCCGTACATGGTGTGGGGTCACGGTAAGTTAGGATGTAAGGAGAATGGTGTGGGGTGGAGGTAAGTTAAGATGTAAGGAGAATGGTGTGGGGTCGAGGTAAGTTGGGATGTGCTGTACATGATATGGGGTCGTGGTAAGTTAGAATGTAAGGTGTGTGGGGTGGAGGTAAGTTAAGATGTAAGGAGAATGGTGTTGGGTGACAGTAATTTATGATCCACTGTTAATACTGTGGGGTCACAAGAAGTTGTGAGGCAAGGTGACTGGTGCAGGGTCAATGTATCTCATCTCTAGATTATAACCTTTTACAATTCTTAAAAAGGCCTACATTGGCTATTAAAATATGTCACTATGACATTATACCTGTATTTGACAGGCCTATGGAGGCTGTTACAACAGTTCGTCAGTACAATCCTATAATGTACTTTACAGGCCCATGGAGGCTGTTACAAAAGCTTGCCAGTAGAGTGTAACTTCGGGAGTCTGAGGAAGATTATGCTCCCCCCCAGCTGTCTGACTATTCCTAGAATGGACGTCAGCATGGAGACTATTCTTGGCTTCAACAAGAAAGGGGATTGTGAGTACTACACTTGTATTATCACTATATCACACTTTGTTGTAGGAGATATCTGATCACTGAAAAATGCATTATTTTGACTTTTTAACGTCAGCATCACAAAATCTCGTACAGGATGTCACATTTGTCTCATAAGGAGATATCAAATTAATCGCTCTCTCTCAAAGAGGACTCTGGACTGTTTTGGCCAGTATTTCAGGAGATAGATTTCATATTTCTGTTCCAAATTGTCAACAGTAATAATCCAGCCACATTAAGATTATACATTAACTGTATTGTCTCTGAGGAATACTCCATGTCTGGGTTTTACCAACACTGTTATCAGCATAGATGGCAGGTTTTAACGACTCTAAACAACCGTAGTAAGTACGCAATTCGCTATAAACAAAATGCTGCTGAGTTTCTGTGTCTACGAGACAATTCCTTGTTAGAGGTGGATACTGGTCGTATGGCTAGATAACAATAATTAGGGCCCTGTGTCAGAGGGTGCCTAAAATAATCACAGTCCATCAATATGTCTGTCCACGCTTCCATTTCTGAAAACATAGCTCCAGAGGTAGGTTTGAAATCTGTGTTACATCAGTAATCCTTTAAACTGAAAACTCCCTATACATTTCCTGGGATTCGAAATAACCACATTTGGATAATATTTAAAAAAAACCCTCATATTTCTACTACTTTTCAAATAAAAATAAAAATTGAATTTTAATTAAACCAAACTTTATACAGTAAACTCTATATGTCTTTCTTTGTGCTGCCTGTGGATCAGCTGTTCCAGGTACGTAAAACGGTATACCTAGCTGGCTGTCACAGTACAGTATTACAATATATATCAAACTAAACATTTTCTCCAGTGAAACCCTGATTTCTAATTGTCGTTTGATGCTTTTCATGAACAATTCAATTGGTGTATTACAAGTTTATAATCTCTTTGGCTGTGCAAACCCACTGTTGCAAAATGTCTTCGGTATTTTTCCCAACGAAAAAACGCCTAAGAAATAAGCATATTGTTTGTATGCTGAGAACTTTTCTTGCCGTTTGGAATTTATCTGAGCAAATGATTTTTTTTATCTGCATGTTTGCAGCATTGTAAGTTTAGACCAAACAAAAATCTTCAGTGGTAAATCTTGATATGAGTGGGTTTTCAAGCAAATTCATAATATGCTATGTACTTAAATATGTGATGTGTCCTTCATTCAGACAATCTTCTTACTAAAGAACATTAAAGTCTTTCTTATCTGCATTATAGCAGTTATTTCTATATTAAGATTATTTATTGTGATTTATTTATTTTTGATTGTAAATGGTTCTGACTGGTTTCAGTGAGAACAGTTTCCGAGGAATGGCCGTCGAGCGGGGAGTCAAAGAATGATGACGAGGATAAAGAGCGACGCTCACCTCGAGAAAAGGAGAGTCGTGACAAAGAGAGGGACCCAGAATGTAAGTCACGTTGAATATAGAGACGGCTGAATGGGGACCCTGAACGGCAGTCATACTAAATTTAGAGAGGGCCGAATGGGGACCCTGAACAGCAGTCATACTAAATATATAGAGGGCTGATGGAGACCCTGAACGGCAGTCATACTAAATATATAGAGGGCCCAATGGGGACCATGAATAGCAGTCATACTTAATATAGAGAGGGCTGATGGGGGACCCTGAACGGCAGTCTTATTAAATATATAGAGGGATGATGGGGACCCTGAATGGCAGTCATATTAAATATAGAGAGGGCTGATTCCAACCTGAACGGCAGTCATATTGAATATATAGAGGGCTGATGGAGACCCTGAATGGCAGTCATACTAAATATTGAGAGGGCTGATTGGGGACCCTGAACAGCAGTCATATTAAATATATAGAGGGCTGATGGGGACCATGAATGGCAGTCATACTAAATATATAGAGGGCTGATTGGGGACCCTGAATGGCAGTCATATTAAATATAAAGAGGGCTGTTGGGGACCCTGAACGGCAGTCATATTAAATATATAGAGGGCTGATGGGGACCCTGAATGGCAGTCATACTAAATATATAGAGGGCTGATGGGGACCCTGAACGGCAGTCATACTAAATATAGAGAGGGATGATGGAGACCCTGAATGGCAGTCATACTAAATATTGAGAGGGCTGATTGGGGACCCTGAACAGCAGTCATATTAAATATATAGAGGGCTGATGGGGACCATGAATGGCAGTCATACTAAATATATAGAGGGCTGATGGGGACCCTGAATGGCAGTCATATTAAATATATAGAGGGCTGAAGGGGGACCCTGAACGGCAGTCATACTAAATATATAGAGGGCTGATTGGGGACCCTGAACGGCAGTCATACTAAATATAAAGAGGGCTGATGGGGGCCCTGAATGGCAGTCATATTAAATATTTAAAGGGCTGATGGGGACCCTGAACGGCAGTCATATTCAATATAAAGAGGGCTGATGGGGGCCCTGAATGGCAGTCATATTAAGTATATAGAGGGCTGATTTGGGACCCTGAACGGCAGTCTTACTAAATATAAAAAGGGCTGATGGGGACCCTGAATGGCAGTCATATTAAGTATATAGAGGGCTGATTTGGGACCCTGCACGGCAGTCATACTAAATATAAAAAGGGCTGATGGGGACCCTGAATGGCAGTCATACTAAATATTGAGAAGGTTGATTTGGGACCCTGAACGGCAGTCATATTCAATATAAAGAGGGCTGATGGGGACCCTGAACGGCAGTCATAATAAATATTGAGAGGGCTGATTTCGGACCCTGAACGGCAGTCATATTCAATATAAAGAGGGCTGATGGGGACCCTGAATGGCAGTCATCTTAAATATATAGAGGGCTGATTTGCGACCCTGAACGGCAGTCATACTAATTATTGAGAGGGCTGATTGGGGACCCTGAACGGCAGTCATACTAAATATTGAGAGGGGTGATTTGGGACCCTGAACGGCAGTCATATTAATTATAAAGAGGGCTGATGGGGACCCTGAACGGCAGGCATACTAAATATAAAGAGGGCTGATGGGGGCCCTGAATGGCAGTCATATTAAGTATATAGAGGGCTGATTTGGGACCCTGAACGGCAGTCATATTCAATATAAAGAGGGCTGATGGGGGCCCTGAATGGCAGTCATATTAAATATTTAAAGGGCTGATGGGGACCCTGAATGGCAGTCATATTAAATATATAGAGGGCTGATTTGGGACCCTGAACGGCAGTCATACTAAATATAAAAAGGGCTGATGGGGACCCTGAACGGCAGTCATACTAAATATAAAGAGGGCTGATGGGGACCCTGAACGGCAGTCTTCCTAATATAAATATAGACAGGGCTGATGGGGGACCATGAATGGCAGTCTTCCTAATATAAATATAGACAGGGCTGATGGGGACCCTGAATGGCAGTCTTACTGAATCAAGGATGTGTTTCTTCTCCATCTCAGAGGATTTCTTAAATTTTCCTATTTTCCTCATGCTTTATTTGTTTTGAAACAGTATAAAGAGTGACAAAGTGTGATCCTCCCTTCATATTTTGACTTCTTTTTTTTCTCCTGTGTCCTTATCCCCGATCATTGTCCAGCCGAGTACACAGAGGGGGCTGATGAGGGACCCTGAATGGGAGTGTCCTAATCCCCAATCACTGTCCTGCTAAATACACAGAGGGGGCTGATGAGGGACCCTGAATGGGAGTGTCCTAATCCCCAATCACTGTTCTGCTGAGTACACAGAGGGGGCTGATAAGGGACCCTGAATGGGAGTGTCCTAATCCCCAATCTCTGTCCTGATGAGTACACAGAGGGGGCTGATGAGGGACCCCGAATGGGAGTGTCCTAATCCCCAATCTCTGTCCTGATGAGTACACAGAGGGGGCTGATGAGGGACCCTGAATGGGAGTGACCTAATCCACAATCTCTGTCCTGCTGAGTACACAGAGGGGTCTGATAAGGGACCCTGAATGGGAGTGTCCTAATCCCCAATCGCTGTCCTGATGAGTACACAGAGGGGGCTGATGAGGGACCCTGAATGGGAGTGCCCTAATCCCCAATCACTGTCCTGCTGAGTACGCAGAGGGGACTGATAAGGGACCCTGAATGGGAGTGTCCTAATCCCCAATCACTGTCCTGCTGAGTACACAGAGGAGACTGATAAGGGACCCTGAATGGGAGTGTCCTAATCCCCAATCTCTGTCCTGCTGAGTACACAGAGGGGACTGATAATGGACCCTGAATGGGAGTGTCCTAATCCCCAATCACTGTCCTGCTAGGTACATAGAGGGGCTGATGAGGGACCCTGAAAGGGAGTGTTAACGTAAGGTTAAATGATCAACAATCATAGTCAGTTGAATGCTTGTTGTTTATTGAAAAGTTTTGCAGTCATAAGAAGACAGTTCAATCAGTTGAGGACACTTGTTTGTTTTCAGCTGAGATAATCCGAGTGTTTGACGGGAACTCGTCCATGAGGAAGAGGATGTACCGCACAATATCTGTTGCTAAGAATGCCCCGGCTCAGGCCATCCTGGAAGCTGCCCTCAAAACATTCCACATATCTGATGATCCCAGGAACTACTATGTGTCAGAGGCTTCTGAGTTTGGTAAGTAACCATATATGTGTTGACTTCCAACAAAGATAATCTTGAGTGTTGACCCCACTAAGACAATGTTAAGTGTTGATCCCAACAAAGACAATCTGAGTGTTGACCCCAGCAAAGACAATGTTAAATGTTGACCCCAGCAAGGACAATGTTTAATGTTGACCCAAGCAAGGGCAATGTTAAATGTTGACCCCAGCAAGGACAATGTTAAATGTTGACCCCAGCAAGGACAATGTTAAATGTTGACCTCAGCAAGGACAATGTTAAATGTTGACCCCAGCAAGGACAATGTTAAATGTTGACCCCAGCAAGGACAATGTTAAATGTTGACCCCAACAGAGACAATCTAAGTTGTGAATTTAGATTCTTTGCAAGCTTTGTTGGTCTGCTCTAGGTACTCTATTATAGGAATTAATATTTTTTTTCTGACATAATACTAAAACAATAAAGTGAAAATTATTGAAGAAACAAATCACAGTTATTTTTCATAGAACAAAATTGTTAAAGTGATAACTCCTTGAAAAGAGGATAAAATTTAGCAAAGGTTTATTAAAAATAACAAAATCTTGCACTTATGAATGTAAGGCCAAGGGCAAATTGTATATATTAAAAATGATGTATCAAGAATATGCTGGCCCAATATTTTTATATATGTTTATGTTGCTTCGTCTATTGGAAAGTTGCGTTAAGAAAATAACTGTAGGTGTATGTGTTCCAATGTCGAGCAGCCCTACATGTTTCAGGTGAGCGAGAGCTGGAGGAAAACAGCCCTATCCGGCAACAACTCCAGACTCCAGACGGCAAACGCCCCTCCATCTTCCTGAGATACAAAGATCGAGACCCGGAGAAGGGTCATCTGAGGATCTACCCGGGCGGCATCCGGTGAGTAAATCTATTGTGACAAGGGTGGAAGTGCAGGATATCCTAGGAGAATAGGAAATTAGTCTTGGAGGGCGAGAGATATACTGGTCTAATTTGGTATATCCTATAGGGGAGTGAGAGATATTGCCAAAGAGTAAGAGATATCCTGGGAGAATAGGAGATTAGTCTTGGAGGGTGAGAGATATACTGGTCTAATGTGGTATATCCTATAGGGGAGTGAGAGATATTGCCTAAGAGTGAGAGATATCCTAGGAGGGGTGATAGGTGTCATGTGAGGGATGAGAGATATTGTGGGAGATTGAGGAATAACCTGGGGAGTGAGAGATATTTTTATGAGAGTAAGAGATATCCTGGGAGAGTAAGCACGTTCTGTGAGGTATGAGAGATATTGTAGGAGATTGAGGAATAACCTGGGGAGTGAGAGATATCCTGGGGAGTGAGATATATTTTATGAGAGTAAGAGATATCCTGGGAGAGTAAGCATGTTCTGTGAGGGATGAGAGATATTGTGGGAGACGGAGATACATCCTGGGATAGCCAGGGGGTTTGGGAGAATGAGATATGTGGAGAGAGTGATAGATATCCTAGGGAAAATGTGGTGTATCAAGGAGAACAATTAATTTCCTAGGACAATGAGATATCCTGGAAAATGTGAGAGATTCTGGAAAATATAGATGTTTTGGAAAAGGGGGAGATACCCTGAGATTTTCCAGTGTATTTGGAAATGACTTCTAGAATCTGAAATGGTACAAAAGTATAGACTAGTGTAGGTATAAAACAACAGATATTGTTGTGTGTGGTTAATAAAACTTTTGTCCATTTATCTTACTTGAGCAGATAATTCAGTGTTAACACATGTTGTTTTCTTTATCTTACTTGAGCAGATAATTCGGTGTTAACACAAGTTGTTTTCTTTATCTTACTTGAGCAGATAATTCAGTGTTAACACATGTGGTTTTCTTTATCTTACAGATAATTTAGTGTTAACACATGTGGTTTTCTTTATCTCACAGATAATTCAGTGTTAACACATGTGGTGTTCTTTATCTTACAGATAATTCAGTGTTAACACATGTGGTTTTCTTTATCTTACTTGAGCAGATAATTCGGTGTTAACACATGTTGTTTTCTTTATCTTACTTGAGCAGAAAATTCAGTGTTAACACATGTGGTTTTCTTTATCTTACTTGAGCAGATAATTCGGTGTTAACACATGTTGTTTTCTTTATCTTACAGATAATTCAGTGTTAACACATGTGGTTTTCTTTATCTTACAGATAATTCAGTGTTAACACATGTGGTTTTCTTTATCTTACTTGAGTAGATAATTCAGTGTTAACACATGTTGTTTTCTTTATCTTACAGATAATTCAGTGTTAACACATGTGGTTTTCTTTATCTTACAGATAATTCAGTGTTAACACATGTGGTTTTCTTTATCTTACAGATAATTCAGTGTTAACACATGTGGTTTTCTTTATCTTACAGATAATTCAGTGTTAACACATGTGGTTTTCTTTATCTTACAGATAATTCAGTGTTAACACATGTGGTTTTCTTTATCTTACAGATAATTCAGTGTTAACACATGTGGTTTTCTTTATCTTACAGATAATTCAGTGTTAACACATGTGGTTTTCTTTATCTTACAGATAATTCAGTGTTAACACATGTGGTTTTCTTTATCTTACAGATAATTCAGTGTTAACACATGTGGTTTTCTTTATCTTACAGATAATTCAGTGTTAACACATGTGGTTTTCTTTATCTTACAGATAATTCAGTGTTAACACATGTGGTTTTCTTTATCTTACAGATAATTCAGTGTTAACACATGTGGTTTTCTTTATCTTACAGATAATTCAGTGTTAACACATGTGGTTTTCTTTATCTTACAGATAATTCAGTGTTAACACATGTGGTTTTCTTTATCTTACAGATAATTCAGTGTTAACACATGTGGTTTTCTTTATCTTACAGATAATTCAGTGTTAACACATGTGGTTTTCTTTATCTTACAGATAATTCAGTGTTAACACATGTGGTTTTCTTTATCTTACAGATAATTCAGTGTTAACACATGTGGTTTTCTTTATCTTACAGATAATTCAGTGTTAACACATGTGGTTTTCTTTATCTTACAGATAATTCAGTGTTAACACATGTTGTTTTCTTTATGAAACTGAAACCTCAAATGGTGTTAACATTGCTCTGGTTAAGTTCCAGGTTGATCCAGACATCATTGATTGAACGTTTTTACCAACCAATCAATTATCGTTTGTCATGACTTGTGTCCCTGACATGTCGCTAGAGTCCTTCAAAATGTGACGACGAGTTTATCTAGATTGTGTTCCTGTTTCAGTGTGTCGGCTCCGTACAAGATTATTGAAGTCACAAAGGATACTACATCAGAGGATGTCATCAGAATCGCTCTGAGAAAGTTCGGACTTCATGTAGGTTTGAAATCTTTGTTCCACATCAAATCTTTTATTAGATCTTTTCATTGAACAGCATCAAATGTTAGCTCGCCTGCCACAATGTGCCCAGAGTTGTTTTTAATGATGTGGTATCCATTTGTTCATTAAGCTTGGCTATAAATAACATTATTTATAAAGAACAGCTAAATGAAATCTATTTTTAGGTCACCTGAGACAACGTCTCAAGTGACCTATTGCGATCGCCTTTTGTCCGCCGTCCTCCGTCGTTCGTCGTGCGTCCGTAAACAATTTACATTTTCGACTTCTTCTCCAAAACCCCTGAACCAATTTCAATGAAATTTTGCAGGGACCTTCCATGGACAAAGGTCAACAAAAATGGTTGCCGGTTTAGTCCTAAGCCCCCAGGGGCCTGAGTGGTGGGGCCAAAAAGGGTCAAATTGACTAAAATTTCAAAAATCTTCTTCTCCAAAACCCCTGGACCAATTTCAGTGAAATTATGCAGGGACCTTCCATGGACAAAGGTCAACAAAAACAGTGGCCGGTTTAGTCC